AGAAGCAGCGAGAAGCGATCTCGGACGCAGCTCTGCTAATGTCCGCTCCTGTGCACCACCCCTCCAAACACCAAGGGCTACCCCCCAACCACTCAAGATTCGTCGGCTTACGCCATCAACGGAACAATCCGGGTGACATTTCAGAAGGGGAAAAAATAAACCAATCGACTGTTGTATTTACATAAAACCAGGCACACATCCTAGTTTTTGTACTGCATTGTAGCTGGCTTTGTAGTGACGGGACGAGCGTGGGTCACCGCTGCCCGCTGTGGAGTCCAGCGCCGCTGCTCTGCCACAAGGCTTGGCCCCGACAGGGATGGGGAGCCCTGCCAGGAATTTGACTGCCCGTGGGGGTTGGGGGCTGGCTGCCTTACAAGTATTCTCAAGTTTTTTCGGTAAAGTCGCGTAGGTAAAAAAATTAATAAAAGTAAAATAAAACTAAAATAAAAATCACGACGTTTCGGAGGCAACACAAGTTTCCATCTTCATGTGGAACCGTCACAGTACACTTGCTGTATCAAGTAAATGAGAGATTCCAAGAGATACTACCCCGTATATATATACTGGTTGAGGGGGGGGGGATGGGCCAGGACAGGCCCCCTATTTATTATTATGGTGAGGTGCGGCTTGAGACTATGCCTTACAAGTGTTCGCGAGTAGCAACTAGGAAGGCCGACACGGCACACCAGGGGGCGAGGGGTGGCCAGAACCACCCAACCACCATCGTCTTCCCCAGTGATGTTTACACACAGCACCAGGTACTCAGTTGAAGCAGAACAGGTTTAGAGAATCGGCACTGCCGTTTACAGCGAGCAAGCATCAAACCCGGGTCACATGGGCTCAGTGCAACGCGTTAACCGCTCCATCACCAACCACCACCGTCTCCATCCAAATCCATTACAGCTTCCTAGGAGGGACACCAAACTGCCCGTGGGAGTCCCCTACATGGCCCAACCTAATCAAAATCACCGGCACCACAGATTTCTCCAAGCTGCCCCAAACCGGATGGGGCATCCCCCCTTGTCCTTGTGGTGGGAGGAAAATTAACATTTTCCACTTATCTCCAAGTTTTCCGATTGCTCTTTTGGCATCACGCAAGACAAAACGGAGCTCGCACATAAGTCAACCCTCCCCCCACGGAAGCGGATATCACAAAGCTTCCACCTCCTGAGGACGCCCTTCCCACGTCTCCCTGCGGCTCACGACGGCAGCGCAGCGTACCGGGGGACGCAGTCGTCAGCGGTAACCAGCAGCTTCCATCTGTCCACCTCGTTGCATCAGTCCATCCACCTCCAGGTCAGAGCTGGAAAAAAACATTCAGCAACACCGGCATCAACGCATTGAAACTGAACTCCCGTTTCGTCAACGTGTTTAACAGTCTCTCGTGACAAGACGTCCGTTTAGTAAAATTCTGTTCCCGGAGCATGAACCGGCGCCAGTTCACGGTGAGGAGCCGGCCGGGATGAGATTCGGGAGTTTGCTCTCCCCTCCCACGATTGAGGCTGCGCCAGATGTCGCAGCCTCTGCCCAGAGCGGAAGGGGATCAACACTAAAACTAAACCATCTTTTACTTCACCAGGCGAGGCCCCCGGAGTTGTATAGTTTTCAGATGGGACCTGTCTATCACTAATGATAGTAGCTCAACAAAGTGACTCGTCAAGTGGAAATTCATATCAGCCAAATATTTAAAACGCATGTAAATTCTAAACATGGACGGAAAAACCAGAGGACCTGGAGGTTTGCGTGTCTCTCCACGGGGAGATGCGCAAACTCCAATTATAGAGCAGGTGACAAGATTGGGATGGCTCCCACACGCCTCCTGCAGAGACGAGTTGCCGTGGCGGCCATCGTGGTGCCCCTAACCCACCTGGTTGTGAGAACGGCCACAGCCTGGCGGTGCCACCAAACGCCGCGTGCCAACACGCACAGCGGCACTCACCGCCAAGCGACAGCGCAGCAGTGCTTTGTGCCAGGCTAGGTGCACTCAGCAGCCACGCCAAACAAAGATTCCTGCCTGCCCATACCCCCACCCCACCCGTGTAGTCCCACAGACTGCTATGGGCACACAAGCAAGGTCTTATGAAGGCCAGCACAATAGGGGGGTGGGTGGTCAGCACCACGCCCCTCAGTCTCCCCCCAGTTCTAAATTTACACATCTTGCTCCATCAACACCGTCCCACACACACCTCCATATCCACAAGAGATTGTGGATAAAAAAACTCGTACACATGTAATCCGAGACATCTCTCACCTGGTTGAACGGGTGACGAGTCAGGTGACGTGGTCTGTTCCCCCTCAGAATGGTACGATCCAACCTGCGCGCACACAAAACCCCCACACAGCTTACACAAATGGTACAACCCAAACACCAATGACCCAATCACCTCTAATGTTCCCGATCTCACGAGCTAAGCTTGGATAATGCACGGATGGCTGGCAATGCCTAGCAGGTACTATAGGCTGCTGTGGGGGCTAACGTTGTAGGTTAGTACAGCCAAATCCGTTGTGCTGCAACATCCACATGTGAAATAAGAAACATTTCTGAGATAGCTCAAAGCTCGTCAGATTTTTCCAGGATAAATAAATTCAGATTCTGAACGCCCAACTTTTTCAAGTTGCATATTGAAATCACACGACATTACACACACTTGCTATGTATGCGATGATCCATCAAGACTTCTAAATGACCAAATACAGCAATAAAATATATATAGCACAGTCCTCCAGTCCAAATAAAATATTAAGATTCTGAAATAATCGGGGTTGAATTGTCGGTGCCCAAGCGTCCCTCCGGAGCCACGGGATTGGTCGGCAGGGAGGGATAGTATGACATCACTTTCTGTCTGCAGGGGGAACGACGACAGGGCCACGGGGAGGGCAGCGCCGTAACTTTATCCTGCACGGCGCCTCGCAGCAGCCTCTCAACATACACTAATAATACGTCCATTCTAGCAGTACTTGCGTTTTTTTCGGTAAAGTCACAAAGGTAAAAAACACATAAAGAATATAATAAATGGAAATAATTCAATTTATTTTCATTTTTTATTATTCTTTTTTTAAATTATTATTTTTTACCTACGCGACTTTACCCAAAAAACCTAAGAGTATGAATCCTTGCAGTCACAAAAGCTTCAAATCTAGACATCTTAGCAGTTTTGCTCTCCCTAGTTGCAGAATTGCCAGCCCTCTCACCTTGCCGGGCTCAAGGATCTCCCACCCCTCCTCCTACGCAATCGCCGCCGGGTTTTCCTCGGCCATGGGCGACGTGCATCGGTGAGATGCAGAGAGGATGCAGCGACCTGCAGACGTGACGGAAAGCACACACAGGTCAACGAACGGCCCAGCACCACCCCGCTTGCCCACCGCCTCGCAATTCGCACAACACGCACACAACCTGCCATTTCGGCTACTTCGATAGATATCGGAATCAAATTGCTGGCCATTCACTTTCATAGAGTTCCGTTTGTCAGACACATTTTAAATTCACTCTTCAGTGATCCTTAATTTGAGACTTTCCATCTCTCGTACGCTTCTCAACTTGGCAACCAAAGATATCTTAAGCTGTTCATTTTTGCCAAAGGGACCCTCTGTTCACCTTAACACGAATTCACATAACCCCCATTGTTCACTCCACGAGAGTAAACTCAACCCAAGTCACCACGGAAAGTGAACGTCATGGATTGAGATCATTGGTCAGGTTAAATTGTTTATTTTTAGTGACTTGCCAACCTTTCCTCCAATTTGCACACCCATGGGTTCTTGTTTTGTTGTAACCTTCTGACCGTGCCCCTACTGGACATCCGTGAAAACAAGCGCTTCATAGCTCAAAGTCCTCCAGTACAAATAAAATATTAAGATTCTGAAATAATCGGGGTTGAATTGTCGGTGCCCAAGCGTCCCTCCGGAGCCACGGGATTGGTCGGCAGGGAGGGATAGTATGACATCACTTCCTGTCTGCAGGGGGAACGACGGCGGGGCCACGGGGAAGGGCGGCGCTGTAACTTTATCCTGCACGGAGCCACGAGGCAGCCCGTCTCAGCTGGAATTTAACCAATTTGATCTGGTCATGGTAAACAGACCAGCAGTTCCAGTTTGCATTACCACCCAAACGCATGGAGAGGGGGGGAGAGTTGCTTTTAATTATTAGTTTCTACGCGACAATCCTAATCGTGCCACTGGCATCACATCAAGGATCAATTCAGAACTCGCAACGCGACCCTATGCTTAAAGAGAACGGCCCACGGAAGCGGATAGAGCTACCTCAGATTCCTTCAAGTGACCTTTGAGCCACAAATCTGGGGGGGCAGCATTTTCCTAACCACTCTGCCACATGCAAGACTGTCAAACCCATATTTTTAATCTTAAAAAATGGAATTAAGCCAACATACAAAGAAATAAAATTAGCTGTACCATCTTTTCTCGTAGAAACTGATGATTGGGTTTATGAGACCAAGTCTGAGTTTTTGGGTTTCTATAAGAGCCAATGGATTTCACTGTTAATCTATGGGGACTTACTAGCTTCACAGGAAAATCAAGCTCAAAAAACAGTTTGGGGACGGCCGAAACCCATGATCCAAACCGCAGGACCTCAGCTGTGCCAGTGTCTGTGACAAAGCCCTCCGGACGCCATTTGTGGTGCAAAAACAATGACACGCCGTCACAACTCACCTCCACTCGCGATCCACTCCGCTCACCAACCTCGGACCTTCCGCAACACAAAGAGCACAAGATTAGCCACATGCCCCCTTTACAGAGTCTCTGTATATATATTGAACCTGTCGCATCGTATGTAGCCATCCGTGATAATCGGAGGTGCAAAAAATATTCAGACTCCACCAAATTTGGATCCTAATGTGCGAAGAGCATTATAGACACAAGACCCTGAACTAGCACGTGGTGGGTGCGTTCACAACTACAATGTTCTGGACCCTTAGGTGAGAATTCTACAAGGACAAAATATGTCATCTCACTGGTAATGGACAGCCTGGGGGTTGTACGGCGAGTGATCAGCGTGGATAAGGGGTCATCAGGCGTCAGACCCGAAAGATGGTAACCATCATTTCACTCGCTGCAACCACACGGCCCCAATGCCATCGGAAAGCATCTGCCAAAAATACAATTAGCCACGTGCCTAAAACTAAAATTATTTTAACGTTACCAGGTAAGACCCACTGGACTATATAGTTCTCAGAAGCGACCTGCCCATCAAATCATCTCACGTGCAAATGTACAGCAGCCAAATCCTCTAAACGCGTGATGCCGATTCTAAACCGAAGGACCCAGAGATTAAGCGACGCTAATCTGGCATTAGTCAATCTGGAAATCTAAAGAGTTTTCATTTCACGGCTATCACCATCAGTTGACAAGTGACATCCAAAACCTTGGGATACCAACTTCAAACCCACCCAGACCAGCATGGTGAAGTATGGTCAAATAACTGCAACAGCCAACACGTTGTGGGCCCGTCATTTCGCAGCAGATTTAGAAGGTTTTGCTTGACATTATATTCCAATGGTACTGTTAACAAACTTGCTCCGGCCAAAGGAATGTCAATTTGCACCAGCGGCTGGTTGGCAACACTGCACCGACGATTATCCATACCAGTCAACCCCTTAGCGCCTACCACATTACGGACCAATTCAGACCATATTGGTCACCCCGTGCCCTCATTAATCTCAACGTTCATCTTACAAAGTCCCATCACAAGGGAGAAAGACAAAAAATGTGCCCGATTTTATCTGCCATAACCCAAAAAAAATCTGAAAACTAAATTTCCCTGTTCAAGAATACAGGCAAACCGTAGGGGCCGATAAATACTTTTATCGATCACGGGCGAGGCAGAGTCAACTCCGCTGAGAGCGAGACCTGTTACTATATATAAAATTATAAACAGTGTTATATTACACAAGGCTCTCCACAATGAAAACCACGTGCCCCTTACCAACATTGCCCTCCGTTAGGGCCGGAAGTGACGTCATGTGACCATGCCACGTGGGTCGCGTCACCGCCACGTGCGGCCCATGGAGGACGCCATTTTGAGATTCGCCATTCTGTGCACACACACAATGGGGGGGAAGACGATCAGATTTGTGCTCCTGACGAGAAGAAATCCGATGAGCAACGAAGCTCTTTCTTTTACACCGACGTCTAGTCTAAAGAGTATTAGCAAGTTACGATTAAAATTAAACCGATCCAAGATGAAGAGCGCGAAAGTTTAAGTCGCTAAAACATAAAGCATTACAGTACTTGAACTAGTGCACGCATTCCTGCAGGTTTGTCAACACTAAAAGAAACGTTTTGGGCTAGGCAGTCTACAAGATCGATTTTGCAACTTACACCGTACAGGAACGTAGTTAGGCAAGCGGCCTGAATACAAGTCGTAACCCGTTTAAAAAAACGCGGTCACTTTATCGAACATGGATAGGTCTTACGGTATCCAAAAAAAACGCGGCAAGAGATTCCTTTACTATAAATTATTAAACGAACCGCCGCACCTTACGATTAAGCTGCAGCTACACCCGCGTGACCGCAAATGTTTTACGAACACGGCAAAGCGCAGCGAGCGCTGGGCGCACTGCCCAATGCAGCACCCACCTCGCAAATCCTGCACTAATCACGTAGCGAACTTCGCTACGAACCCGGCAGTCAACCCGCGTTAATATTCCCCGGAATTTGCAACATCAGCAGCGCGCGGAGTCTCAAATAGAACTCCCACAGGGTGAAGTATGCCTCAATAAAGCCCATACACAGTATACATATAAACACAGGATATGAGGCCTACACAGACCCATACATTTAGCCACGAGTCCGTGACCCAGCGCAGCCGCGGAACCTCACCAATGACTAAACATCGCACTGTACCCTCCCCCGCCGAAATGTATCGAAACTCGGCAAGATACATCACTACCCGCTTAAAGTGCACACTGCACGCAGGTTTTGTGAACACGTGCAGATAAGTTTGGCTTGCTGTACTAAACACAAGACTATAATAAATTAAGGAAATCGCACAATAAAAGTGTGCTTGGGTTTCGCACAAGCCTGTAACATTATCGATTATTGCTGAGAACTAGACCGATAGTTAAACAGAAGTGCTAGTTGTGATTGCGAGCCGGCCTCCAGCAGCTGGTGCCATGCGACTCACCACGCAAGGCGCCGTTGCAAAAGAGACGGCGGATCACGGGGAGCGCCCTTATATAGCCCACTTGCACCGTCGAGCAGATCCATCCGCCAAATAGTTCTTCACAGCGCAAAGTTGAGAAACGCAATCATAACAAGCAGCTTGCAGTCACTAAACAAGATGATTCTGTAATATATTTTGTAATGTATAATAGATTACAGTGTACATATTACAAAATATAAATTGAATAGCTTTTGGAAATCCCGCCGAACTATTTGCGGCTCGCGGATAGACACGGCTCGAAGCGAGCGGAGGGAGTGAGAGGGCCGGATGGGCGGAGCTCGCGGGGCATGACGTCACCACGCTGACTTAATGAGATCAGAATTGTCCGGATTATAAGACGCACCTGAAAATAAGACGCGCCCTCGAAAACCTTCCCCCCGTGTCAATAAAGTTATCCTCTAAATTAAACCCCCCCCCCGTGTCAATAAAGTTATCTACACCCGGTGTCACTCACGTACCTGATTATAAGACGCACCGCAAAGTAAGACGCACCCTCTAAAACCTCCCCCCCCCCCGTGTCAATAAAGTTATTCACACCCGGTGTCACTCACGTACCGGATTATAAGACGCACCGCAAAGTAAGACGCACCTTCGAAAACCTGGCGCCCGGTGTTAATAAAGTTACCCAAAAACAAGAGACAAAGATCCCTCCGTATAGCCTTAACAGACCTTTGGGGCAAGTGCTGTTGGCGAGTAGCACCTGAGAAGGCCGTCACGGCACACGATTTATCCACAGCCGGTCTCACTGATGTATGGGATTATAAGACGCACGTGATACACACTGCCATACCTGTGCCCGGTGCCCAATGAAGTTATCCAAATCTGGTATCTCACACACACACGCGCGCGCTTATACTCTACCGGGCTATAAGGCGCAGTGACTGAACGCTTGTTTTCATATAGAGCAGGACAAGTGCTTCTTGTTATCCGGAGAATGTGGTGGTAATGGCGGTAGAGGCGACCACGGGAATGGCCCCCACTCTGTGGACACAACAGACCCAACCGCCGCGTCAATCACGCGTGGGAAACGCAACTTGAAACCAAACACGACCGAGCCATCATGGGGCCTCTCTTGCCGGTATATCAAAATATAATAATATAGGTCTTACACTTTCTGGCAATTAAACAGGTGCGTTAAGATGTTAAACCACCAAGCTGAAACCTTTTTGCAAGGAATCATGTCTGCATTACACACATTCCTGCGGAGGGAGCTGGTAGGAACGTTGGGTTGCTCGGTCAATGGCCAGGGTCAACGGCGGCGTGGTGTATTCCGTAAATATGCCGACTGTGAGGGTGGGCACAAGCCGGCGTGAGTAGGTTAAACGTTGAGTTTTATAAGGGCACCACGGGGTGACCAGCCCCTTCCCACCCAGCCCCACCCAGCCCCACCAATCGAACCCAGGCGATGAGCCAGAGTCACCACTTGACCAAGTTTCAAGTTTCATGTATTAGGTATAGCCCTGTGAGCCATGCGGCTCTTGAGTCGGGTGCAACCGCAACAAACAAAATATGAACACAGAACATCCCAAAGCGACGACGCGTAACAGAAACATTCTGGAATAATCATCAGTCTTCCTGATTTGGCCATAGGCACCAAGTATTATAGTGCACGCATTAAACGCGTGGTGTTTAAACAAAACAAAATGTGTTATACAGGAGATCACTACGATGATGACGGAATGCGGAAGCATTCATCCCCCAGCGGATAGGTCAGAGGTCGGCAACCAAAATCACAAGAAGAGCCATTTTTTTTTCGAATTCGGCAAACAAAAAAACCCCTCAATATTTCAAGAGCCTCTATGCATCTGAATACGAGACGGCGGTCCTCAATAAATCACGTCACGGAGCAGTCTTTCAAGAGCCGTCGCATGCGGATCCGCAGCCGCAGGTTGACGACCTCTGACCCAGAGATCGTGACGCCGCTGAAGAGGTCGCCACGAGCCTCATCGGGCAGGAAGTGGCTGTGACTACGATCGGACAATAGGGGGCGACACTGGCAGCGCCTTGCGTTGAGAATTCCGACACAGAGCCGCAGTCGCGTGTTACGATTTTCTTAACACGATGCAGAAGACATTTACACTATAAAACATCTCCTTTACCAGTGGCAAAATATAGTAGTAGGTTTTTACCTTTTAAACTGGTACAAAACTGACACCTTTATACAAGGCATCATGTTTGCAATAACCGCAACACAAGCAGTCAAAATGCTAACAAAAAGATACAACCATTATCAGAGTTGTTTCTTTTTGTTTGCATTTTGACTGTTTAAAGGGTAAAAACCTATTACGATGCAGAAGTTCTGAAACGGGGCAGCCGTCACGTGCTCGGATTCTGACACGGGGCACCAGTCACGTGCTCGGATTCTGACACGGGGCACCAGTCACGTGTTGTCTCAGAATGAAACAAAAAACACTCGAGTTTGTAATTCACGCTAATTACACATTCGTGGAGGGTGGAGGGGTGGCAGAGTGGTTAGCGCACTGTGCGATGCGCGCGGCAACCTGAGTTCGATACCCGGCCACGGCCAACATTAGTGGCGAATGATATCTGAACTGATAGCCCCCCCCGCCCCCTATGTACTAACCCGCACTGAGCAGCTGATGAAGTAAAACTTTCCCAACGACCGGCATGGCGTGGGGGAGGCCTTCATCCAGCAGTACATTGACAAAAGAATCAGAATCGGCAAAAAAAACCCTCAATATTTCAAGAGCCGCAATTGCTGTGAATACGAGAGGGTGGTCCTGAATAAATAACGGCAGAAGAAGTATTTTAAAGAGCCGCCGCACCATCGCATGAGGCTCTTTAATGAGGATCCGGAAAATAAATCTACGCGACCACGGAGAGAGGGAGAGAGACATGCAAACTCTAACATTTACAGTTTCAGTTT